CACTTCAAGATTCTAGCAGAGTCTATAGCAAGCTTTGGGAACTGAGCTACGACTAAGCAGTGCTTATCACCTACAGACAGATGACCAATCTGAATGAACCATTCAAACCTTAGAAGATATGCTCAGAATGTGTGTATTAGCTAAGTTTGTATACAACAACAATTATCATTCAAGTACCGGTATGGCTCCTTATGAAGCATTGTATGGTAGGAAATGCCAATCTCTAATTTGCTTGGCTGAAGTAAGCGATAGACCTTTGTTAGGATCGAAACTTGTACAAGAAACCACTGAAAACGTGAAATTAATTCAGCAACGATTGAAAACTGCACAAAGTTGCCAAAAGAGTTATGCGGATGTCTAAAGAAGAGACAGGGAATATGACATTGGGGATTATGTGTTTATTAAAGTAACTCCTATGAAAGGGCAAACTTCGTTTGGTGTAAAGGGCAAGTTAGCACTGAGGCATGTTAGGCCATACGACATTTTAGAGAAAATCAACACGGTGACGTATCGGGTAGCCTTACCGTCGGTTATGGAACATATGTATAATGTTTTTCATGTCTCAATGCTACGATAATATTTGAGAGATCCGTTCCACATGATTGAACCAACTCATGTGCTCTTGAAAGATGACTATATATACGAAGAGAGACCAATTCAGATTGTAAACCGCTGAATCAAAAGATTAAGGAACAAAAGAAATACCATTGGTAAAAGTTGATTGGCAAAATTATGGAGGGACCTATGCAACTTGGGAGACGGAGGAAGATATGATGAGAAGATACCCTGATTTGTTTCCTTTGGACCCGATGTTCTTCTAAAATGAAGGTAATTCAAGTTTGTAGGACAAAACTCTTTAGAGGGGGAAGACTGTAACAACCCTGACCTATGATTAGCCAATAAACCATGATTAATTATGCCTAATGAGTGATTAAGATGAAATTCTAAATTAATTGCATTTGTTGTGTTTCTATCTGTCTATAGTAGAAAAATCTGTTTGTGTTTCTGTTTTGTTTTTCGAATTGAAGGCCTTATCGGCATCCAATCACGAATTTGACTTGATATATGTGTTATTTGGAATTTTTGGAGAATTATGGCAAGTTCAATTGAAATTCGATTCGGAACGAATAAATTAGAATAAAATGATCCTACTTAGTTATCTTTAACTCCAATTAATTAATTTCCCTAACCAAGCCTATATAAGGCTTATATATCACTTTGAATCATCTCATTTTCCTCATTTGAGCTTGCTAAAAATATGAGAGAGAGAAAGAAGAAACCAAGAGGGTTTTGAGATCAAACTTGGCATTGGAAGGAGTTTGCTAGAGAATTAAATGGAATTGGCTTGGAAACTTAAAGATATAGCAAGCTAGAGCCTAATTCAAGAGTTAGGTAAGGGTTTGATCCTTTACTTGTGTAATTGAGGCATAACACGTGAATTCAAGAGGAATTAGAACAAGAATTAAGCTTTGAGAGACGAATTAGAGGCTAAATCATGCATGTATGCTCATTTCTTATATGTTGAGTTTGATTTCTAAGAAATTCACTCATGCATGCCATTGTTCAAACCTTGTTTAGGGAATTCATTAAATTCTGCATCTTTTTACCTTAATTGATCATGTTTTGTGAGGAAGAAATCATGTTTTATCATGTATGTATTATACATTGAATTTCAAGGTTGATTTCAATAATTGACTTGCTCTTTGGGCCTTGATTTTTGCAAAACGACTTTTAATTTATGAAGTTCTATGGTTTTATATATGTTTTCTCAAGTTTTGGGCCCAAAAGAGGTTTTTAATAGCTTTGAATTTGAGTTTTAAACTTGCAAGAGCAATCTAGAAATTTCAAATTTTGTCTCTTCGCTCGAGCGATAGATCCTGCGCTCGAGTGACCACTCTATGCACTTCCGCTCGAGTGATCAAAAGTTGGCTTGAGCGTAAAATGCATGCTCCCAGAAGTTTACCATTTTTGCAGACCACTCGAGCGACAAGAGTTGCGCTCGAGCGAGGACCTCAGTCTTACGCTCGAGCGACAGTCGAACGATCGTCGAGCGGAGAATTCACACAGCCAGTACTTTTGCAGAGTTTATAGATCGCTCGAGCGACCGAAGTTACGCTCGTGCGACCGCGTTTATTTTTAGCCCACTCAAGCAAAGGAAGCTACGCTCGAGCAAGAACCCTATTTTCAGCAAATTTGACTAAGTGTTTTGAAACACATTTTGGCACCCTTATTGCATCTTAGACATTCTTAAGCCTTAATTAAGACATAATAATGAGGATAAGACTTAGAAACACACTAAGAACGAAACGTAATGAGTTAAGTATATTCTGAGCGTGTGTTTCAATGTGTATCTACTATGTGTTTGTGTAGGTCATGGGCCATAGACTATCCGAATTGCCCGCTTTCTCTCTTTTGTTACCGGAGCCATCTGTGAGTAATAATTCTGTAAAGTTATGTTTGACTTTAGTTATTTTCTGATGATATGAAATGATCAGTTTTTTGAAATATAATGTTTCATATGAATGAATGATTGTCCAAGTTTCTAAAATGTATTCGTGGCATCCTTAGTATTATATGATATGCATCCCTTTATAGGTCATCGGAATGCCTTTATGGCTGTTTCTTTAGGGGTCATCGGAAACATCTCGGTACACATGAGTCATCAGAATGCCTTTATGGTCGTCCCTTAATGAGTCATCAGATTTGTTAGTGCTAATGGATGTACCACGTATGATCATATGCAAAATTTGAATATGAATATGAATATGTATATGAATCTATTTCTAATTTGAAATCTAAATATGCATAAGACTCTATTTCTGATAAGAATATGTTTCTGATATAAACTCTTATTTCTGACTCTGTGATGGACATCATTCATTAAAACCCTTTACTCTGTTATTATTCACTGGGCTCCAACTCACTGTATTATTCATGTATGTAGGTGAGCAGGCACGTGACCAGACCTAAGTTGTTGCTTAGAGAGTTTTGGGTCAGCCAACCACCATGCCTCACGGGGAGGTTCTCATTTGAAAAGTCTAGTTTTGTGATCCATGTCAAAGATGTTTTGTTATTTTGTTTTTGTTTATCTGTACGCTGGGCTAAGTCCCTTAAGGTACTACTTGTATAGTGATGTAAGACTTAAGGAAGTTTGATGTCACTTATGTACATATATATATCTCAGTATTTGGAATTTCTGTTCCATGTATGTCTGCACAGCTCTATGGACTATGTATGCTTCTATATTTGCTTCCGCAACCCCTCTATTATTATGATATTCAAGTTAGAGGCCTTTAGTAATCCCAAGATTACTAGTCGGTTACGGCGCTAAACCTATAGGGGCGAGTTTGGGTTTGGACAAGGCGCGTGTCCAGGCCTAGAGTTGATGACTTGGAGCTCGGGTTTTGTCAGCCAGCCCTTGTGCCTCGCAGAGAGGTTCCCGATTGTAGAAGTCAAATGTTCATGAATCATGTACAAGGATGTTTTTGCTTTGTTTTGGTTATGTGTACATTGGGCTAAGTCCCTTATGATATTATCTGTAAGTTGATACAAGACTTATACGTCTTATGTATATAATTAAGTTTAAAATTTTTGTCCCATGTACGTCTGCACAGCTCTATGGACTATGTATGTTTCTATATTTTCTTCCGTAGCCCCTCTATTATTATGATATCCAGGTCAGAGGCCTTTGGTAATCCTAGGATTATTGGCCAGTTACGACGCTAAACCTATAAGGGCGGATTTGGGTCGTGACAGAGTGGTATCAGAGCACGTGTTGTACCGTACACACGAGTTCATATAAGCTATATGACGTCCTAGAAAAGAATTAGGGACATTCCATCTGCATGTGTGGGTGTGTGGACTATTTGAACATACCCAAACTAAAATGAATTGATGTGAACACATATAAATTAATATGAAACAAATTGATTTGGAATTGAACACTGAGAACAAGACTATTATGCTTGTGTTTATTATTGTCCTATTTACCTATAGCAATAGAAAACATAAAAAGTAATGATGCAAGTGAATCTTCTGAAGCCCGAATGAGTCGAATGGAATAGATGCTTGTAACTTTGATTGAAGTAATGACGTAGCAACAAAGACAACAACCTTTACCTCCCCCACCTCTAGTTCTAGTTGAGCTGGAAAACACGGATATTATTTCATTGACACAAAAGTTTAACAAAATGAAGCCGCCAATCTTTTTGGGTGGTATTGAGCCTTTGAAGGTTAAAACATGGCTGCTAGAGTCTGAAAAGATATTTGAGGTGTTTCTATGTTCGAAAATTTAGAAAGTTCTGTTGGCCACCTATATATTGAAAGAAGAAGCTAAACGTTGGTGGATGCTTATTCGAGATAATAGTGACATAGAGCTAGTTTAAAGTAATATTTTATGAGAAATATTTTCCTCAATGCTTTAGAGACCGTAAAGTGTCAGAATTTCAAGAACTTAAGCAAGACAAGATGTTCGTAGCCGAGTATGAGGCTAAATTTCCTGAGTTTGCCAGATTTTCTCCTCATATGGTCGGCATAGATTACAAAAAGGCTCGAAAATTTGAAGGGGGCTCAGATTTGGATGTGTTTGATCGAGTAGGCGTTTTACAGTTGCCTACATATGTGGAGGTACTTAACAGAGCGTTGATGGCAAAGGCCACCCTAGTAGCAATGAAGCAGGCTAAAGCACCAATAATAAAATGGCAAAGTAAAAGAGCTGGATCCAATTTTCGGAAGGGCCGTTTATCTTTCTCACACAAAAACCAAAATATAGGATCTTCAAGTAGTTCAAGCCAAAGCAATGGCTCTATGCTAGTTTGTTCTGAATATGGAAAGAAGCGTAAAGACACATGTTACCTTGCTTTAGAGACCGTAAAGACACATGTTTTCCTCAATGCTTTAGAGACCGTAAAGTGTCAGAATTTCAAGAACTTAAGCAAGACAAGATGTTCGTAGCCGAGTATGAGGCTAAATTTCCTGAGTTTGCCAGATTTTCTCCTCATATGGTCGGCATAGATTACAAAAAGGCTCGAAAATTTGAAGGGGGCTCAGATTTGGATGTGTTTGATCGAGTAGGCGTTTTACAGTTGCCTACATATGTGGAGGTACTTAACAGAGCGTTGATGGCAAAGGCCACCCTAGTAGCAATGAAGCAGGCTAAAGCACCAATAATAAAATGGCAAAGTAAAAGAGCTGGATCCAATTTTCGGAAGGGCCGTTTATCTTTCTCACACAAAAACCAAAATATAGGATCTTCAAGTAGTTCAAGCCAAAGCAATGGCTCTATGCTAGTTTGTTCTGAATATGGAAAGAAGCGTAAAGACACATGTTACCTTGCATCTGGTGCTTGTTTTCGGTGTGGCAAGACTGGCCACATGATTAGAGATTGTCCGATGAGATCCTATGATGCTAACTGTCCTGTGGCAAGTTCAGTCGGATACACTCCTGCACCAAGAACAAATGTGAAAACCAATATCAGGAGAAAAACTCTGAGGCAAGGCCGAGTGTTTGCATTAGTACCTAGTGATGTACAGAACACCGAGTTAGTGGTGTCAGGTCTAATTTCTATTTGTGCTCAACGTGCCTATGTGTTGATAGATTCTAGTTCTACGCACTCTTTTGTGTCGCATGCCTTTTCTTGAAAATTAACTAGACCCTTAGAACCTCTTAATTATTTGTTATCTGTATCTGCACCATCTAGAGGCTCTATGAAATGTGCTTATATGTATCCTGCGTATGACATCATGGTTTGGGATATGTTGTTATATGCTGATTTGCTACCACTGGATATTACTCATTTTGATTGTATTTTGGGTATGGATTGGTTAACTAAATACTATGCCACCATTGATTGTGTGCGTAAATCTGTCGTGTTTCGACCACCCGGTGTGCCTGAGTTTGTCATTACCAGGAATGGGGTAGTTCCTCCGCCGTATTTGATTTCGTTTATAAAAGCTAGGAAATTGTTGAGAAAAGAGTGGCGGGGCTACTTGTGTTATGTATTGACTGTATCTCCGGTTAGTGCTAATGTGGAAACTATTCCTGTGGTTAATGAATTTCCTGATGTGTTTCAGAATAAATTACCTGGGGACTTAATTGATAGAGAAATTGAATTCACCATTAATGTAATACCCAGGACACAACCAATTTCTAAAACCCCATACTGAATGTCAACTTCTGAATTGAAATAATTAAAAGTTCAACTCCAAGAACTCTTAGACAATAAATTTATCTGCCTGAGCACTTCACCTTGGAGTGCTCCAATTTTGTTTGTCAAAAAAAAGATGGGTTGTTCAGACTGTGTATAAACTATCAAGAATTGAACAAAGTAACTATCAAGAATAAGTATCCATTGCCCCGAATAGACGATTTGTTTGACCAACTCTAGGGAGTACAAGTGTTTTCCAAAATCGACCTTAGATCGGGTTATCACTAATTGAAAGTTAAGGCAGAAGACATTGAGAAAATCGCCTTCCAGACTAGATACAGACACTATGAATTTTTTGTAATGCCATTTGGGGTAGCTAATGTACCTGCAACATTTATGGATTTAATGAATAGGGTGTTCAAATAATTTCTTGATGAATTTATTGTTGTATTTATTGATGATATACTGATTTATTTCAAAAGTAGGGAAGAACATGAAAATCATCTAAGAACTAACTTGCAAATCTTGAGAGAAAAGAGATTGTATGCAAAATTAGCAAATGCGAATTTTGGTTTGATAGTGTAGCATTTCTGGGGCATGTGACCAACCAGGATGGTATATCGGTGGGCCCATAGAAAATTGAAGCCATTGTAGACTAGTCATGACCAACCAATGTGTCAGAAATCTGAAGTTTTCTAGGGTTTGCAAGTTACTATCGCAGGTTTGTAAAAGATTTTTCAAAGCTTGCCATGCCATTAACATAGTTGACACAGAAAAATGTACCATTTAATTGGAATGATCAACGGGAGTCAACCTTTCAAGAACTGAAAACTAGACTAGTAACTGCACCAACTCTAACATTGCGTAAAGAAACTGACGGGTTTTAGATTTATAGTGATACTTCCTACAAAGGCTTGGGATGTGTATTAATGCAAAATGAAAAGGTAATTGTCTATGCTTCTCGACAACTCCGCCTACATGAAAAGAATTATCCAACTTATTACCTTAAATTAGCAGCTGTGGTTTTTGCATTAAAAATTTGGCGCCATTATCTGTATGGAGTACTTGTGAGGTGTACACTGATCATAAAAGCCTCAAATATTTCTTCACCCAAAAAGAGCTGAACATTGGACAGAGACATTGGCTTGAGTTAATCCAAGATTATGACTTGCAAATTCTATACCATCCAGGAAAAACAAACACCATTGCAGATGCATTGAGCTAAAAATCTATTGGGAATTTGTCATGTTTGCTCATCGGTGAAAGAGAGTTGTTATGTGACTTGGAGAAGAATAAGATTGAAATTGTGTTGTGTGAACAGGGCGAGATTTTAGCAGCCATTTCTACTTAGCCTGCAATCATTGAAGAAATTAAAGAGAAACAACTTGAAGATGAGTTCTTGAAGAAAATTGTGGATGAAATTTACTCAAAACCGAAGCTGGGATTTATGATTGAAAATGGTGTATTGAAATTCCAGAATAGACTTTGTGTACCGATTGTTTTGATTTGAGGAAACGAGTTATAACTGAAGCTCACGATTCTAAATTTGCTGTGCATCCGAGGAATACAAAGATGTACCATGATTTGAAACAAAATTTTTGGTGGCTGGGAATGAAGAAAAGCATTGCTGATTTTGTGGCAAGATGTTTGTATTGCCAACAAGTTAAAGTTGAACACCAACAACCCGCTGGACTACTTTAGCCGCTTCCAATACCGGAATGAAAATAGGAGCATATTACGATGGACTTCAATGTTGAACTGCCTCGCTCCTTTTGAGGTATGGATTCTATTTGGGTCATTGTTGATCATTTAACTAAATCTGTCCACTTTTCGCCTATCAAATCTTTATATAATGCGGATAAGTTGGCTAATTTGTATGTATATGAGTTTGTGAAATTGTATGGAGTTCCAATTTCCATAGTGTCTGATAGAGATCCCAAGTTTACTTCAAGATTCTGGCAAAGTTTACAGCAAACTTTGGGAATTGAGTTGAGATTAAACAGTGCTTATCACCCATAGGCAGATGGCAAATCAAAAAGAACGATATAGACCTCGGAAGATATGCTCAAAATGTGTGCTCTAGATTTCCAAGGTAATTAGGAGACCTACTTACCATTGGCCAAATTTGTGTATAATAATAGCTATCACTCAAGTATTGGGATGGCTCCTTATGAAGCTCTGTTTGGTAAATGCCATTCTCCAATTTGTTGGGTTGAGGTAGGTGATAAACCTTTGTTAGGACCGAAACTTATGCAAGAAACAACGAAAAATGTGAAATTGATTCAACAGAGATTAAAAACTACACAAAATAGCCAATAGAGTTATTCAGATATTCGAAGAAGAGACAGAGAATATGAAGTCAGGGATCACGTGTTTATCAAAGTAACTCTAATGAAACGGTAAACTCGGTTTGGTGTAAAGGGCAAGTTAGCACCGAGATATGTTGGGCCATACGAGATTTTAGAGAAAATCCACCTAGTGACATATCGGGTAGCCTTACCGCCAGTCAAGGAACATATGTACAATGTTTTTCATGTTTAGATGCTTCAGGAATATTTATGAGATCCATATCATGTGATTGGGCCGACTTATGTGCTTCTAAAGGATGACTACACATACGAAGAATGACCAATTCAAATCATCAACTGAATAATCAAGAGATTGAAGAACAAAGAAATATCGTTGGTAAAAGTTGATTCGCAAAACCATGAAGGAACCTATGCGACCTAGGAGACAGAAGAAGATATGATGAGGAGATACCCCGACATGTTTCCTTTAGACCCGATGTTCTTTCAAAATGAAGGTAATCCGAGTTTGGAGGACCAAACTCTTTAAGGGGGGAAGACTGTAATAACCCCGACCTATGATTAACTGCTAAACCATGATTAAAGATTCCTAATAAGTAATTAAGATAAAATTCTGAATTAATTGCATGTGTGTTGCGTTATTTGTGTTTATATCTGTCTATTGTAGGAATATCTATTCATGTTTCTGTTTTGTTCTATGAATTGAAGGCCTTATCGGCATCCAGTCATGAAATCGACTTGATTTATGTGTTACTTGGAATTTTAGAATTTTATGGTAGGTTAAATTGAAATCCGATTCAGAACGAATTAAATTAGAATAATTAATGTCAATTTGATTAACTTAAGTCAAGTTTAATTAAGCCTTCATAATTGAGCCTATATAACGCTAATTTGACTCCATTAGTTCATTTTGCACCTTCATTTCATACTTTTTAAGCTCAAAAACGTGGGAGAGTGAGAAAAGGAAGAAAATTTAGATCAAAAGCTAGGAAAATAGGGAATTGCTAGGAATTGTTGGAGAATTTGGGAGTTTAAGCTTCTACACTTGTAAATTTAAGACTCTAGGTAAGAATCTTGTTCCTAAGCTTTGTATTCTAGACACATGTGAAAGAGTTCAAGAAATTAAGATGGCTAATCATGAGAATTGAGCTTAGATTAAGGAATTTAGGTAGAGTCATTGCATGCATGCATAATTCGTGAAGTTTTGAGTTTGATTTCAAAGAATTTCCACATACATGTGTCTATCTTACCTTTGTTTTGAGAATTCATGAAGTTTTGTACCAAAATTACCTCAATAGCTCATGTATTGAAAGCTTTGAAGCCAAGATAAATTCATACATGCTATATTCTTGAAATTCTAAGTTTGAGTTTGCACAATTGGTATACTTTTGGGCCTTGATTTTGCGAAATGGTTTTGAATTCATGAAGTTTGACAAGTTTATACAAGTTTCTTTAAGTTTTTGGCCCAAAAGATCATGAGTTGCAGCTTTGGAGTCTAGTTTTGAGCTTAAAAGCAAATCTGGAAATTCTAAGATTCTGCTCCTCTGCTCGAGCGACAAACCCTGTGCTCGAGCGATCACTCTGTGTTTTGCACCTCCGACCGAGCAACCAAAAGTTGGCTTGATCGTAAAATGCATGCTCCCAGAAGTTTACAATTTTTGCAGATCGCTTGAGTGACAAGAGTTGTACTCGAGCGAAGACCTCAATCTCATGCTTGAGCGACCGTCGAGCAGAGAAATCACATAACCAGTGCTTTTGCAGAGTTTACAGACCACTCGAGCAACAGCAGTTGCGCTCGAGCGACCACCCTTGTTTTTGACCCTCCGTTCGAGCGAAGAAAGCTATTCTCGAACGAGGACCTTGTTTTCAACAAATTTAACCAAGTGTTGAACAACATGTTTTGGCAGCCTCATTATATCCTAGGCATTCCTAGGCCATGATTAAGACATAATAATGATGATAAGGACTAGAAACACACTAAGAATGAAATGAAATAAGTTAACGAATTCCGAGTGTGTGTTTCAATATACGTATCTGTAATGTTTGTGTAGGTCACGCGCCGCAAGTTATCTGACTTGTCTGCTCTGCCTATCTGCTTTGCAGCCATCTGTGAGTAATAACTTTGTAAAGCTATGTTCATGCTTAAGTAATTTCCTCTATGCTATGATATGACAAGTAGTGATCTGTT